CCAGCTATCTTTAAAATTGTGTAATGCATAATTTTTCTTTGGCCACTTTCAAGGTGTTCTTTTCATCTCTGGGTTTCAGCAGATTCATAATTAAGTGCCCAGGTGTGGTTTTCTTTGTATTTATCCTGCTTGTGACTTTATGACATTCTTGAATGTGGAATATGTAATTTTCACAAAATTTGGGAAATTTCCAGACATTATTCAAACAGTTTTTCTATTCCACGCCTTTTCCCCTCCTTTTGTAACTCTAATTATATTAATATGTGTGTTATACGTTTTGACATTATCACAAATCACTGAAGCACTGTTGAGTCCTTTCAATTTCTTTCAATTCTGCTTCATATTAAATAATTTCTATTTATGTATAATTAACTTAATTGACCCCTCTGCTGCCTATAATTTCCTGTTAAACCTCTACAATTAGTTTTTACTTTCAAATATTGTATTTTTCAGTTTTTGAGTTTCCATTTCCAAACTGATTTACTCATTTGTTGCAATTCCCATCTGTTCACCCATTAACAACACATTTTCCTTTATCTCATCCAGAATAATTATATAGGAACGTTAACATTCTTGTTTGCCAATGCAAATATTTGAATTATCTCAGGATTGATATTGGTTGCTTTTTCTCTTGAATATGGCTTATGTGTTTGTTTGTTTGTTTGTTTTTTTGGCTTATGTTTTCTTATTTTTATATATCTAATAATTTTTACTGTATGAATAATACCCTGTGGAGATTCTGTTGTGTTCCTGTGAAGAGTGCTGACTTTTGGTTTGTTTTAGCAGACAGTTCATTTGGTTGAACTCAACCTCCAAACTCTGTCTCCCTGAGGCAGGTAGTGCTAAAGCTTTTGTAGGGATGCCTGGAATCTGTCCAGTACAGAGAAGGGATTTCCCAGAAATGTTGTACCTTAAATGCTGATGAAGGCTTAAAGAACAGTGAGAAAAACCATGTTAAAAACTGGAAGAAGTGGGATTCTTGTTATGTAGTGGCAGAAATTTTAGCAAGTCCATGATCAGCAGTTAATATGGGAAGAATGATTGGGTGATCTAGCTAAGGAGATTTGGAAGCCATGTGTTAAATGTGCTGTTGTTGTTGTTGTTTTCTTGCTGCTTATAGAAACATGCAAGAGAAGAGACATAAAGTGAGGAAAGGACTGTTAACAGAGAACCAAGACATAGGGTTTTGAAAATTCTCAGCCTGTGTAGATGGCAACTACTAAAATCTAGAAATGGCTTCTGAGCAAAGATAAAATCCCGGATAGTTCCAGGAATACTGGTCTAAAAAATAAGCTAAGGGCATGACTATAAAATGTTCTGTTAGAACCTCAGAAAGATCTAAGCCAGTATGTCAGGGTTCTATTTAATCACACAAAATCTCTGTAAAGAAACTTAGGGGGGACACTCATAGATGCTCTTATTCAAATAATTAGGCCTCCAAGAAGTTTATCTCAGAGATTTGCGGCTGTGGCTTTTGTCCAGTGGAGTGAACCCCAATGAGCCCGCAAAGTTTTCAAAAGAATTGGTTCAGTAGAAACCCTGCCAACTTAGAGTGAAAGGGACAGGGACAGTATGAAATGAAGAGAGGCCACTTCATTCCCAAAATTCTGATGTCAGTAAGCAAGCTTAGAAAACTATTGAGCTCCAAACACATTTCATGAAAAAAGGATAACTCAGAGGGCAGAACCAACAGTTCAGATGGTGAAAAATTATTTCCAGGCTTTGAGACCTAATCAAGGAATTTCCAAATATTTGTCTGGCTAGGTTTCAGAATTGCTATGGATCAGTAATTCTACTATGTTTGTTGGTGGGGCAGATAACTTGTTCTTTATTTCCAAAGTTCTGCAAATCAGGAACTGTACTTAAGAAACTATACCTCATGAGCCTTGTAAGCACCTGGTTCTATTGTAGATGACAGGAGTTTTGACTGTGAGCTGATGCTGTAACGAGTGAGACTCTGGGAAGGGCCTTGGAAGGGGATGAGTGAATTTTGAAAGTGGAAGGGACATGATTTACTGGTAGGGCAGAGGGAAGACTATAGTAGGGGGTCCAAGATGACTCCCAAAGTTTTCTGCCTCCAGTTCTTCACACTCTTTTGTAATCCCCTCCCCTTGAAAGTGGGCTGGACCTAGTGACTCCTAGTTAACTAAATACAAAGATGAGGGGATATCATTTCTAATATTAGGTTATAAAAATACTTCATCTTCCATCTTGGGTACTGTAAAGTTGGTGATGGCGGAAAGAAGGTGAGAGACAGAGAAATATGGAAAGCAACATGGCTTTGTTGAACACTCCCGGGCAAGGTTCTCAGGTCCCAAAAGAATGAGGCCAGGGAAGTCATGCCCATTTTAAAGGGGTACAGGCTTTTATACTGCCTGAGGCGGGTCGGGGACTTTTGATGGGAAGGGCTGGGGATTTTCACTGTGACCTTTGGCAGTTATTGAGAACCAGGAGGGGCTAGTGGTATTTGCAGAATCCAGGAACTGAAACTTGGGTACAGACTCCAGGGACCAAAACCTTTCTTATCTGGGTGAACACTCAGGTGTGGTTATCCTTTAACTTAGCTGGGCCTAGCAGTTATTTTTGTGGGTCTTGTGGGCTTCTCCTTTTTACTTTAGGGAGGGGAGGGGGTGCCTGCCACCAGCCTTACAGGTACCTTTTCCTGCTCACTCACTTTCAAGGAAGGCACTTCCCATGTTGTGGGCTGGCCTACAGAGAAGCCCACATGGAAAGGAACTGATGTATACAGTCAAAAGCCAGTGAGGAATCAATACCTGCCAATAGTTGCAAGCATTTGGAAGCTGTTTCTCCTCTAATAGTGTTCAGATAACTGTGGCACTGGACAACAACTAGACTGCAGCCTTGTGAGAGACCCTAAGCCAGAGGCACCTAGCTAAGCTATACCTGCATTCCTTATCCACAGAAATTGTTAGATCATGAACATCTGTCTGTTTTCAGCCACTAAGCTTTGGGGTAATTTGTTAGACAACAGTAGAAAACTAACACACCATCATAGCTCTTACTCTACATCTCAGTGAGTTAAAACAGAAATTCCAACATTAGTCAAGGATACTATACTGATTATAATTTCAGTAGCTACTATTACAATTAAAATTCAAATATATCATTACCTTAACACAATAGAAGTTTATTTCTCACTCACATAATAATCCATTGCTGGTGTTCCTGGGTGACCAGGGGCTTTCCTCTAAATAGTGGTTTAGGGACACAGAGTTCTTCCATCTTTCAACTTTGCTATTCCATATGATTAAGATTCTTTTTTTTAGCTAGACAGCACATCCTGTTCTTAATAACCAATCCCTGATATATCTTTTCTATTCATAGCACATTGAAGAACATTGATTTGATAGACAGAGCTGGAAGGGTGCCCGGGAAGACACACCCCAGAATTGGTCTCAGACAATAGAAAAGGAAGCACAAACTTTTGGTGGTCATCTAGTCACATCATAGACATCATTAACACAAACATGCCCAGGACCTGGGACAATAACCACAGTATGTGCTTGTGGTCTTGTTGGACCTGCTACATTTATAAAAGAATTCCTTCATAAGCCCTCACTCTGCATAAAAGCAAATCTTTAAGCAAGTCCAGTGGAAATGTTCAGTGATTTTAATGACAGTCATTCAAGAGCACCCAGATCCCTTGCCATAGATTTAAATCACTGTAAGGCTTAGGTGGATGCCATGCCATTGAGTTTTTAAAATTAAAACCTTAGTATACTTTCAACCCTGGGTATCAATTATTAAGTACCCTGGAGATATGAGAAATCAGAACATTCTTGGAGTTCTGAGGTTTGTTATGACCTTTTCCCTTTCTTTTCACAGTTAACTATTGCCCTGTAATCAAGCTACTACATATGCCAAATGTAGTTTCTACAGAAATCAGACATCTTTTCCAAATGCAGTCACTCTCATGAGAAGTCCCAGGACCTAAAGGAGAAGACACAGAGACATTTCTAAAGATGCTCATGCTTCTTTCATGTCAGAGGAACACGGAAGGGCTGCTGGAAACTTGCAGAACATGACTGAGGGAAATGGACATACAGAATCCAATCCAGAATGATAAACTCCTGCATTCTTCCAAGTCCTTGTATATTATGCAATGTAATTTCTAACCTTCAAAACATTTCCAAAAATGTTCCCTAGATTTTTGATAATATAACTAGTGAAGGACATTAAATTTTTCTGGGTGAGATTAATGTCCTTCCTAAGTTTCTATATTTCAAGCTGCAAGTCATTTTATTTTATTTTTTGAGACAGAGTCTCGCTTTGTTGCCCAGGCTAGAGTGAGTGCCATGGCGTCAGCCTAGCTCACAGCAACCTCAGACTCCTGGGCTCAAGCAATCCTCCTGTCTCAGCCTCCCGAGTAGCTGGGACTACAGGCATGTGCCACCATGCCCGGCTAATTTTTTCTATATATATTAGTTGGCCAATTAATTTCTTTCTAATTTTATAGTAGAGACAGGGTCTCGCTCTTGCTCAGGCTGGTTTCAAACTCCTGACCTGGAGCAATCCTCCCACCTCGGCCTCCCAGAGTGCTAGGATTACAGGCGTGAGCCACTGCGCCTGGCCTGGAAGTCATTTTAAACTCTGATTTTTGTTACCAGCCAAGCAATAATAGTAAGTACAGGAGAGCAGGGACAATTAAGTTTTCAGTTTTCAGGTACAAGAGAAGCACAGTTAAGTAAAATTAGTAGGGAGGTTTCTTAAGGGTTGAGAGGAAGATGCAAAGTTTTCTAAGATCTTTGAATCATTCCTGATAGCCTCATCCCAATCACCTGGATTCAAATCTTTCCCAAATTACTTAAGTGGCAAGGTTGGGAACTCAGTAAGCATCATAGCTCAGCAACGAACACATCTACTATTGCATTTGGTTTTTAGCAACTGCAGCCCCCTGGTTAGAAGGAACACGAGATTCTTTCCCAACACAGTCATAAAGTCCCTAATTTCAATTTCTTGCTTAAGGTCAGAATTTCAAGTAGCCTTGAAATTTTACTTTTAATGATCCAGTTTCATTATAAACAATGATTGCATATACATTTGGAAGCAGCATTCCTCATCACCTTCAGTTTTTGGTAGGAGCTATGCAGCCCCTATTGCACGAAGGGCTTATGATCCTGCTGTATCACACACGCCTTTGTAGCAGAGCAGGATGAGGAGTTTCTTTGTCCTCCAATCTATCTCATTTAATGATCAAACCTTAATACTCTGCTTCTCTGTAGCCTGGTCATCATTCTCTAGTATCAATTTCTGTATTGGCTAGCTTTCTTTCATTGAGAACAAAAGAATGTGATTCTCACTTAAAATTAGAAATTAAATATTAGAAGAATGCTCAGTAGCTCGCAGATTTAAAGAACAGATGTCAGAAAGCAGGAGTCATTTCAATAGGTCCCAGTGACAGATGGACAAACCTTTAGATTGCTGCAAAAGGATAACTCAATTCAAGCTATTTCCAGGAGTCATACTGTATATATGTCACAGCTGGTACCAGGGTTCCAACCAATTGGAATGAATACTGACTAAAAGGAGGCATCCATCACAGCCACACTGGGTCATAAAGCTGAATTCAGGCCCTGCTCCTGTTTCTGTGTATCCAGTCAAAATACCAAGAAGGAGAAATCCAGCTGGCTTCACTGGAGTGTTGTGCAACTAGCAGTTCACCAGAATACAAAATGAAGAAAGTGCCCACAAAAGGCAAGAAAAGTACAGATTTTTATATGTGTGTGTGTGTGTATACATACACATATATATACTGAATGTGTGCATGTGTATGTACATGTATACCCATAGATACATTCAATATTAATTCTATGACTACAAGATCATTTTACACATAAGGTTCTGCAAATCACAGATTTCATTTAATATATTGTGGAAACCTCTCCAGAGAAGTATACATAGAGCTTAATCACTTTCCACTAACTGCACAGCACAGTATTGAATAACTGCAATTTAATCCATCTGCTCGGCAGGACATTGAATTCCCATTTGCATGATTAAAACAATTCTACAATAAACATGATTTATATCATATATCTACCGATTTATTCCAATGGGATAACATTCCTAGATCTGGAACTACTGTGAGAGGAGGAATGCACATTTATAACATTAATAGGCCATGCCATATTGCCATACAAAAGATGGGAGAAAAATTCAAACTGCTAATGAGGCACAAGGACCTGTTTTCCCACACTAACATCAGTACTGGGTGTTACCCAAAATTTAGATTTTAGCCCATCCAAGAGCCAAGAAAATTTGTTTTCATTCATATTCTTCTGACTAACGAGGTTAAAAGCTTCACAAATTTTCTTTATTCATTTGAATTCTTCAGGGCAACTTGTCTCTTGGTGTGCACAGCTAGGGTACAAATGTGCCTCTAACTTTTTTTGGAGTGGCAGATAGCCAATTGTCTTTCCAATATTGAAATATCAGTCTTATTATATTCCAAAATCTCATATGCAAAGAATTATATTTCAAAAATTTCCTTGCTATTCTTGCCTAAGTATGCTTCTTTATGTTGTTTTAAATCAAACTGTCAAAGTAAACATATCTTACTGAGACTCTGGAATTACAATTTACAAACATTTTAATAGTATTGAGTATTTCATCTAGACATTTCCTCATTTATGACATATTTTTTTTTGTTTTTCAATATAGTTTAATAATTTCCTTTTACTATTCATAAATTGCTTTATAGTTTCTTTTCTTGTTGTTGATGTGAGTGTTGTATTGCTCTCATAAATTTAGGACCTTTTGTATATTTTCCTTTATTCTAGAGCAGGGATTGGCACACTGTTAATGAATAGTAAATATATGAAGCTTTGCGAGCCACACTGTCTCTGTTGTGACAACTCGGCTCTGTCAAGGTTGTCTAAAGTAACCACAGGCAATAGGTAAACAAATGAACATGGCTGTGGTTCAGGAAAACTCTATTTACAAAAACAGGCAGCAGACAGGATTTGGCCCATGCACTGCTGTTTGTTGACCTCTGCTCTACAACAGAGATCAGCAAACATTTTCTGCCAAGGGTCAGACAGAAGATATCTTGCGCTGCTGGCAATAGGGTCTCTGCCACTGCTCAACTTTGCTGCTGTACCCTGGATGCAGCCACAGATAATATGCAAATCAGTGGGTGTGGCTTCATGCCAATAAAACTTTACTGACACCAAAATTTTAATTTCATATAATTTTCAAGTTGATAATATTCTTTTTACTCTTGTGAACCATTTAAAATTAAAAAAAAATTTAGACCATGTATGGACCATTTAAAACCAGCTAGGGAGACTGTGGCTATGAGTCATGGTTTGCTGACCCCCACCTGAGATCAGTTTACTACAGAGTTAATGGTTCCTTAAAAGTTTAATAGAATTCATTCACAATCCAAGTGACTTCAAAGAGCCAAATCTTACCAATTTTTCTAATTCTTGAGTCACATGTCAATAGTTTTAACTTTATGTATATACATCTTGTACCATTATAATTATTTAATTCATTTATTCCAGGTGGCCAATTCATTCCTGTTCTAGATTTTCTAAGACTGCTGGCAGATACATAGTAAAGTTTAATTTTCTCACCAACAAGGTCATAGCACCTTACAAGTAGATCAGATGGAAAGCCACAATATTATCTTGGCATTATGGAATCCAGTTCTAAATCAACACAGGCAAAACCTCACCCATTCCCTGAAGAACTCCTGTTCCTAATCTAAACTCTGGTCTCTCCCAACCTCATTGTTCTGCATCACTTTTATCAGAGCTGACTATGATAACTTTTCAGTGTTCAAAAACAATGTTTTTAAGAGAGCTAGGTTTACTGAATGCTTAATATGGACCAAGCACTGTGCTGAGCACACCGTATGCATTAGCTAATTTAAAGAAACTACAAGTTTTACATGAGGAGTGAATAAATTACATTTACACTTTAAAAAGTCAACCTGACTGTGATGTGAAGAAAAAACTAGTAAAGGATGAAAAGAAAACAAAACAATGGCAGGGAGAGGAACTACTAAACTACTGGAGTAGCTGAGTGGAAATGATGCCTTGAGACTATGGTGATGGGAGGGAGGACGGATTCCAGAGAAATTTGGGAAATAGTTCCACAGGATTTGATGTGGAAGGTAAAGAGGGGCGTGTTGACGACTCCCCAGTGTGAATTCGCTGATGATGAGCTAAGTGTGCAGTCTGCCTGAAAACTTTTCTGCTTTTCTTATAGTTATGGGATCTCTCTCCAGTATGAACTCTCTTATGTTGATTAAGATGTCCGATTTGGATGAAGGTTTTCCTACATTCCTTACATTCATATGGTTTCTTTCCAGAATGAATTCTCTGGTGCACACTAAGGGACTGACGGTGACTAAAGGCTTTGCCACATGCACTGCATTCGTAAGGCTTCTCTCCAGTATGACTTCTGCGGTGACAAATAAGGGATGATTTTGTCTTGAATGCCTTCCCACACTCAATACATTCATAAGGCCTTTGGCCAGTGTGAAGTCTCTGATGTTGAGTACAGGATGAGTTATCACCAAAGGCCTTCCCACATTCCACACATTTATAGGGTTTCTCCCCAGTGTGAACTCTCTGATGTTGAATAAGGTGTGTGGTCTGACTGAAGGCTTTACCACATTCCTTACACTCATATGGTTTTTCTCCCGTATGAGTTTTTTGATGCTGTGCAAGGTGAGCCTTCTGGGTGAATGCTTTACTACAAACCTTACATTCATAGGGCTTCTCTCCAGTATGAATTCTCTGATGAGTGGCAAGCTGGGAACTGATGCTGAAGGATTTCCCACATTCCCCACATTCAAAGGGTTTCTCCCCGGTATGAATCCTTAAATGACTAGCAAGGTGTATATTCTGTCTGAAGGCTTTCCCACATTCTTTACATTTAAAAGGCTTTTCTCCAGAATGTACTCTTTGATGTTGAGTGAGTGAAGCATGATGGCTAAAGGCTTTTCTGCAAATCTCACATTCATACGGTTTTTCTCCAGTGTGAATCCTTTGATGAACAGTAAGGGATGAGCCGTATCTAAAGGATTTGTGACACACATCACATTTGTAAGGTTTCTCTCCGGTGTGAATTCTCCTATGTTGATTAAGCCCTATGTGGTCACTGAAGGCTTTCCCACAATCGATGCAATCAAAGGGCTTCTCCCCAGTGTGATAGTATCTCCAGTGACGAATGAGGGATGTGTTCTGTATGAAAGCCTTTCCACATTCAATGCACTCATAGGGCTTTTTGCCAGTGTGACATCTCTGATGTCGTGCAAAGGATGAACCATCGCTAAAGGCCTTTCCACATTCATTACATTTATAAGGTTTCTCTCCAGTGTGAATTCTCTGATGAACAGTAAGGGATGAGCTCTGGGTAAAAGTTTTCTTACATTCATTACATCTGAAAAGTTTTTTTCCTGCATAGATGCCTGTTTGTTTTATTACAACTGAATTTTTTGGGAAACTTTTAACTGAATCATGATTATGAACTCTTTCCTCCGAATCTTCCAAATAGAACCATCTTCCAGATTTGTTATGCATACACTGTCTTTCCTTAGAGAGGGATTTGTTATGAGTACTTGGCTCTTGCCTGAATTGTGTCTCTTGACCTACAAGCTTCCTTTCAAACACATGTTCAGAATCCCAATTTTCTCTGAAAGTGGAACACTCAAGTTTAGCATTTGAGGTTCTGTCTGTTACCCCATCAGTATATGAGTCCTGCTTTGGAAATAATTCCTGGGTCTCACATACAGATTGCTGGCCTGAAAAATATCAAGAAAACAGATTTTCATTTATCATGTGTTAGAAAAAAGGATTATGCTAAAAGGAGATTGTTGAACTAATTCACTACTTGACTAATTAAACAACATAAGTTTTGCAGCTCTAAAAGCTATTACATTTAAACATGCAGTGTATAGTGTTTGTAACAAGACCCCAGACTGAATTCACTACAGGAACCTAGGAGAGGTAAGTAGAAAAAAATTAAATATAAGAAGAAACAGTTACATCAGAAGAGTAATAAATTGACAGGCTATGACATTCACTGCCTTTATCTCTCTCCGACTCCTTGTCTGTCCTGCTTTGGATGCCAGAACAGTCACCATTAAATGCTATCATCATATCACAGGAGTTGTTCAAAGGAACATGCCAAAGCACAAAAAAGACACTGTATTCTTTGACATTCATTAGGATTACCTGAAAGTCCAATTATTACTCTACAACTGGAAAATGGTGTTTTCTATCAAGCATATTTGATGCATCTGAACAAAAGCTACACTGCCAATGGATTACTGAAGCTCAGTATTCACATAAAATCATTTTCACATTTTCATACTTGTGGTTTTATACTTGTCACATTTCATACTTGTGGTTACTCTACAAGTATGAAAAAATCTGGCCATTTCAAACTGGGGCCTTGTAATTTCTCTTTTTATGGCAATAAACTTTTTCTGACTTTATTGAGGTATAATTGACAAGTAAAATTTGAACATATTTAAGGTATAAAACAGGATGTTTTGATATACATATACATGGTGAAATGATTATCAAAATCAAGCTAATTATCATAGCCATCACTTCACATAGTTTCCATTTTTGTGTGCAGTGATACTTATGATCTACTCTTAGCAAATTTTAAGTATACATTATTATTAACTATAGTCACTGTGCTGTATATTAGGTCCCTAGAACTTACTCATCTTATAAATGAAAACTTGTACCCTTTGACCAACATCTCCCCATCTTTACCAGCCTCCAATTCCTGGTAATCAACATTCTATTCTGTTTCTGAGCTTGACTTTTTTCTCATTCCACATATAAGTGACATCAATGGTGAGATGGGGTTTCACTATTGTCCATGCTGGAAAATGGTAAATTTTATGTATATTTTTCCACAATAAAAATATATAAAGTAAAAAAAAAAAAAACCCACACAAAAAAAGATAGAGGATAAAGAGAAAGGTAAGGAAGGAAGAATGAGAAGGAAAAAAACTAAAGGAAGGGGGGGGATAAAGAAGAAAGAATTAAATAAGTAACAGAAACAAGGCCAAATATGTTATGTGGTTCAAATAAGAATGATACATCTATTAATAAAAAGAAAAAGCTAGGAGTGAAACAACTAAAAAAAAAACAACAACAACAAAATAAATCTTTCTATAAATGAAGATAATGCCCAATTTAAACTACAATGTAGTAAGAACCACCATATGCAAACTTACAGACCACAGAAAACTGGGGAAAAATTTATCAAATTTATAAAAAAAGGGATTCATATCAGTACTATATAAATACAAGGAAATACATGACCCAATATAAACGTGGGTAATGAGTATAAACACCATTAACAGAACATGAACTCTAAATGGATTTAAACACATATATTCTCACCATTGCAAGTAGTCAGGGAAATGCAAATTAAATAAAACATGAATTTTCACCCAACAGCTTGGTAAAAATAAAGAAAAATATAAATGTCCATGTTGCCAAACACTGTACATCCTCACGAATAAGTGGGAACTAAAAGATGGGCACCATAAGGCACAACACAATATAAAGGACATGAGAAACCCAGGGAAGAGGGCAGGAGGGAGGGTATGAGATAAAAACTTACCTGTTGGGTACAATGAATACCACTCCCGGGACAGGGACAGCAAAAGCCCTGACTTAAGCATTATAGAAGGTATCCACACAATCAAAACACTTGTACTCCCTTAATATTTTGAAATAAAACCCCCCAAATATCCATATTGATGATGACGTCTTTTAACAGTATTTTCACAGATTCTTCACCAAAATATCCATGACACTTTAACTAGATTATGGTATATCCATATATTGTAATACTAGATAGCCATTAAAAATGAAGTAGATGTGTATGTATCAAGCTTCTAAGGACAAAGAAGGAGAAATCATATCAGAAATAATGTATTAATTAGACTATATGAAAAATTTTTAAAATTTACGTATCACAATTTTAAAAGACCTAATTAAAATACTCTAATTACTATATGTGAAAAATAGTTTCAGATAATACATCAAAGAATTAGTATATTTATTTTCTATGTATCAAACAGGAGACTGTTAAGAAAAACATTTCACATACAGAGAAATGGGTACAAAGGAAAGATATTTTACAAAAAGACAAAGAAAAAAACCAAATTTAGGGGAAAGTAGTCAACCCCTTTCATAATAAAAAAATAATTTTAGGCTATATTCTTTCAACAAATTATGATGATGTAAATACCAAATGCTTTGAAGATGCCATTAAACCAGTACATCTAGTCGTTGCTTGAGTCACTAAAAACAAATAACATTTTAAGAGGCAGGGGTACAACAATCTCCAAAATGTATAGTTCTCACTTACATAGAGAAACCTATTAGAAGTATATCTTTAATACCAGGAAATGTGAACAAACCTAACAGTAATAGCATATACAACACAGAATGCATATGGAAAACACTCGTGTGTGTGACTGAATATACACTATAATTTCTATTCTGTGAAAAATGTGTTTACCATGACTTGAAGGGATCTGAAGTTTTCACAACATGTTAAATATATTATGATAATGTGTCATGGTTTTCTGTGGTTTTTCCAAACAGGTAAGAAAATTACATTTTCTACAAATCATTATTGGTGAAGGAATTTCTTTTCCTTCCCTTGTGTATCACGAGGAAAAGACCCTCTACTTCCAGTCTTCTTGCAATATGACATCTACTCACCCTGTCTTGTAGAAACACAGGAGCCACTGGGAGTAACATCTCCTTTGTCTCAGTAATGCTGTTTGAAATTCTGCACACTCTATCCAATGCATGTTACCCATAAACATGTCTTATTCTCTCCATTACAGAAATTCTGTGATGGTTTATACACATGTGTAACTCTCCCTGTCTCCAAACACCTGCTGATAACCAAGCAGAGTGGCTCAGTCACATAACTTTCAATTCATGGTTCTTAATGGGTCACTTAACCAGAGAAGAGAAAACCCTTGGAAGTCAGCTCAAAAGTACATCAGGGTCAGGAAAAGGTCACCTAAGGACCTGATAGGCTGGCACACCTCAGTGGCCAAGAAAAGAGGGAACACTCCAGGGAAATGGGAGTTACTGGAAAGAAGGGGGAAAGGAGGAAGAAAGAATCATTTTGAAATCCCAGAGCTCAACATTCTCTCCAGACCCAGAGTGTTTGGTAAAGTTTTCTATGGTACATTAGTGAGGATTCAGCCTCTTTGATAAAAGCTGAACTGTCCTTTGCAGTGGCTCTTCTGTGCCAGGCTCTCCCACACTCACCCGAGAACAGGCCTCCTGGCAGCGCTCGTTTCACCATCCAGGGCTCCTTTGCTCGCTCCAGCAAAGACACCAAGTCTGGCTTGGAAACACAGTGCCCTGCGTAAGAGAAGAGATGGGGTTCAGTCTTACTCTCGGCATTCTGTTGAGAGAACAGCGTCTCTGCAGGAAGAAACATAAAGACGAGCTGGATTTGAAAGGCGTCAGAGATGACGCTTCAAGCACAACAAAGACACCAACTTTCAAGTCTACAAGTGCCAGACTCTTATCTTAGGAACCAGGAGCGAAAATTCAGGCCGGCACTTCAGAAGACCCGCACGCCCACCCTGCCACCACCACCAATTCAAAACTAAAGTATGAAAATCTGAAAACAGATTCAGATTTGGGAGAGGAACATTCTTACCTACTGAACCCGGGTCGCCATAGTTCTCCCATCTCACATTTTTATAGAAACTCTTCTGAGTTGGGTCTAGCTGCTGGGAGAAGTCGACAGCCATGTTAGTGACATGCATCAAGCCCTGGAATGGTACATCCAAGTTTTTGATCAAAACATGCCTGTGAAACCACCTAGCCCTCGGGAGGGGTGGGCTGTGTCCAGACGCTGTAAAAAATACACTCTGTATCAAGAAGTGTGACTTAAGATCTGAGTAAACCAGATCACATAATGAATGGGCCCAATTATATCATATATGTTTGGGTGGGAAGAAAAAATAGGAGAAACCGTTTCTGCTGTGGAGAATTTGCAACTCTGCAGAGGAGGATGAACGTATACACAGTATGAATTTTTTAAAACTGACTGAAGGCTTTCCCATATTCAATATGCATTATTCAATGAGTTCATGGGCTTTGTTCTCTGGTATGAAATCTCTGATGAAAAGGAAGCATTGACACCCCACTCAAAGTTTTCTCACATTCATCACAAGTCAAACATTCCTAACATAAACGAATATTCTTTGTAATTCATTACAACTCAATTTTCCCTCCACTTTTTTCTCATGTGTCTCCAGATAACTACCCTTTGTTCTGTCTGTAAGAAGTGTTCTATTCAAATGCAAACTGCTCCCAGTTACTGTGGTTGTCTCTTTCCCCAAGAAAGGTTTCTTTATGAAAAGCAATATTTTCACTTGCCTGAAGTTCATCTCCTGACTTACCAGATGTGTCTCAAACAGAGCATCATAACTCCAGTTTTCCCCTAACACAGAGTACTCCAGACTACAGTTTGTGAGACTCTCTGTAATCACTGCCTGAGATAACTTCTCTTCACAGAAGTCCTTCTTTAGAGGCAACTCCTCGGTCTCCCGCACAGCATTAAAGTCTGAAAGATATTAAGAAAGCAAGTATCTCTTTTATTGTGTGCTAGTATGAAGGAAAATTCCAAAATGGAACCAAATGAAATAAACCTTCCAAAAAGCATATCATTTTGAAAACTTTTTTACATGACCAGGAATATTCAGACAACCTTACCTTCTTAAACCTGTGTATAGTCCTAAAGCATACAATAAGAGCTTTCCCACCTAAATATTGAACAAGTAGTATATATTAATATCATATTTTTAGCAGAAGACTGGAAAAAAGAAATTAAAAATCAAGAGATGAGAGAGCTCACGAAGGCTTAAATCTAAAATAAGATGTTGCTAATATTAATATAATAAACAAAGAAGAAGTAGTGGCTACCAAGAAAACTGCTATCTCATCCTTATTTCAGTTTTAATTTAATTCCCTTGACTCTTTCTACATTTACCCATCTAGCAAAAATTTCATCTCTATTTCTTTATGCCTCCTTTTCTATTACAATGCTAACTAGTAAAAGTCCAGATCCTGGCCTTAAAAATGCCTGTCTTCATAATTAACTAGAGTAACAACAAGAGATGAATGATCTGTTGGAGGGAAAAACAGTTCTAGCTCATAAAACTAGTTCAAAGAGTGTGATTTACTATGATGTTAAACTGGCATTCACAAGATGCCATTCTGATTCTCCTGTATGATGCCATGACCCACGGGAGGCATAATTTATAATTGGGAATAACCTGTCCAGTTCTGTCAATATGAACTTTTGTTGTGAAGTGTGATGTTAACAAAGAAATTTTATAAGATTCTCAATTCTTTAGAAACTGTTAACCATTTCCTATTATAATAAAACCTCTGAAAGAAACCTATAATTTTGATTCCTTGTCTTACTTGATAATTTGCTGTTTCAGAAATAATGCTGTAGTTGAAATCTCTGTATTCCCAGCGTAAACATTGCTGTAATATCTGTAAGCACACTCCATCAAATCTGAATCCGTGTTCTTTTCTTCTGAGAGCCAGTAATGTAACTGTATGCTGCCTGTCTGCACTAGACATCCACTTGACCCAAATCTACTGTAGCCCAACCCAAACTCACTGCCTATCCTACCAATCTCTTCCTTCTACTGTTTCTATTCAAGGCTTTAGTCTCATTCCATGCTTCCCTGGCTTAAAACTGGAATGATTTTTCTTCTTATGCCCCGGTTGACACATGTCATACATAGAACAGTTTCTACTTCTTTTAAACTGAGTATAGATCTGTCCCATCCCCCCATTAGAGGGTTTATTCTTCAATGGCTTACACTCATCTTACCAACCAGCATCTGGCGGCCCTACTCAAAGCCAAAACTTTGTCCTCATCAGTTAAAAGAATAAGTCTATAAATGAAAGAGTCATTTAATCAAAGATAAATGATACATTAAAAACGATATCAGAATCAGCCAAAGATTTAAACTGAGATGATTCTGTAGGTCTGGAACGGGAGGCGGGTGTGGAAAAAAGGGGTCCAGAGTAGAGGAAAATAAGTCATCTCTAGAGGGGGGAGCAAAGCTGGAGAAAAGAGATGGGGAGAAGAGAAATGTGGGGAGCCCATGCGTGGCCTTGGTTTCCCTCTGGCCAGAGGCTTGGGAAGAGTCCGCTGAAGATGGTGTCTGAGGAGCTGAGCTGTGCCCAGCAGGGTCACCCCACCTGGTTTTCCCACAGTCACCTGGGCACCTACCTCTTGTCACCTTTCTCTTTGCTGTCCAGGGCTCTTTTCCTTGTTCCAATGAGGAGATCACAGCGGGCTTAGAAACACAAAGCCCTAGACACATGGGAGGAAACAGCACAGGGTCATGCTGAGGGCCGCGCAGACGCCAGACGCAGTCCCCGTGGCTTGAGGGAAGAGGGCAGAACACAGCTTGGTAACGAAGGAAGGAACATCTCAGTCATGGCAGCGGGCAGGGAGGGAGGCAGGAGAGGGGCGGGGAAGGCCCTTACCCAGCGACACCAGGTTCCGGTAGTTCTCCAGCATCACTCTCCTGTACAGCTTCCTTTGCATGGGGTTCAGCCACTCCCACTCCTCTTGAGAGAAATCTACAGCCACATCCCCAAATGTCACCAGGCCCTGAAATGACATAACCATGCTCCTGCTCAACCAGTGCTCACATGACTGGGAGGTTGTTATAGAAGGAACTGTGTCCCCTGAAATTCCTACATTGGAGTCCTAACCCCTAGTCCTTCTGAATGCGACTTATTTGGAGATGGGGCCTTTAAAGAGGTAAATGAGGTCATAGGGTGAGACTAATCCAATCTGATGGCACCCTTACAAGCAGCAGCAGCAGTACCAGGATGCACACACACAGGGAAAAGGCCATGGACACCGGGAGAACGAGGCTCAGGAGAAACCAAACCCTCCAGACACCTTAATTTCAGACCTCCACTCTCCACAGCCTTGGGAAAAGAAATTTCTGTTGTTTCTGCTGTTTAAGAGGCCCAGTCTGTGATGTATTGTTATAGCAGCCCTAGAGAACTAACATAGGGGTCTAAGGTTACCTTGTGTTCATTTTGGGTTGCAGACTATATATTCAGTGATTTGGAGATCTAGATAGTTATTGGATCGCTAGCCTCATTCCTTCATAAATTCCAGAAAAAACAGAAAAATACAGAGTTAGCCCCTCCCTGCCTTTGGAGAGCTTGCAGTTTTGTGGGGGTGAAAGTAGGCATACATGAGAAAAATATTTGACATCAATTCAAAACAGTACATAATGAAGGCTGAATTGCTCTCTGTGCAATAGGTACTATTCAACATGGGGACACTCGACATTCCAGTGGCCTAGAACAGCATGAGAATTAGAAAATAAGGCCGGGCGAGGTGGCTGACGCCAGTAATCCAAGCTCTCTGGGAGGCTGAGGTGGGCAGATTGCTCAAGGTCAGGAATTTGAAACCAGCCTGAGCAAGAGCAAGACACTGTCTCTACTAAAGACAGAAAGAAATTAATTGGCCAACTAAAAATACATAGAAAAAAATCAGCTGGGCGTGGTGGCGCATGCCTGTAGTCCCAGCTACTCGGGAGGCTGAGGCAGGAGGATCGCTTGAGCCCAGGAGTTTGAGGTTGCTGTGAGCTAGGCTGACGCCACGGCACTCTAGCCCGGGCAACAGAGTGAGACTCTGTCTCCAAAAAAAAGAATTAGAAAATAAGCTTGGAGATGAACCTCGAAAGATCAACACGACAAAGCCTGACATCGGGTCCTAAGGATTTCTACTTCTAATTTTAGTCTTCACTAGATGTCCATTAAAAAATAATAATAAATAAATATTAAAAACCTAACTATTTTTTTCTAAAATAAAAATGAGTGTGTGAGAAGAAAAACACAATAATGCTTCTAATGAATGAAATGCTTCTAAGAGCCCAGGTGCCACCTCAGAGAAGCCGGCCGCGTCAGGGGGCAGCGCCAGGGCACCCTCCTCACAGCCAGCAGCACGTTCCTGCCCGCTGCCCGGGGGCAGTTCTGGTACGTTCCAGTGTGTGTGTGTGTGTGTGTATATATATATTTATTGACAGAGTCTCACTTTGTTGTCCAGGCTAGAGTGAGTGCCGGGGCGTCAGCCTACTTCACAGCAACCTCAAACTCAAGCGATCCTCCTGCCTCAGCCTCCTGAGTAGCTGGGACTACAGGTATGCGCCACCATGCCCGGCTGATTTTTTCTATATATATTAGTTGGCCAATGAATTTCTTTCTATTTATGGTAGAGACAGGGTCTCACTCTTGCTCAGGCTGGTCTCAAACCCCTGAGCTCAAGCAATCCGCCTGCCTCGGCCTCCCAGAGTGCTAGGATTACAGGTGTGAGCCACCATGCCCCGGCCATTCCAATGTATTTTAAACATTTATTCAATTCAAATGCTAACCCCGGGAACCTGCTGTGGCTAACAGAAGGCAGATTTAAGTGACTGGCAGCTGCAGGATTTTCAAAGTATTAATGGAACCTCAAATCAACAAACAAAAAGTCAGCTCCGAAACCTCCTTTGGTGACTTAACCCCTCTGTGCCTCAGTTTCCCAGTTGTAAAATGGAGAAGTCAACAATACCAACCTCGCAGATTATGACTCAAATTAAACGAGGCAACATGTATGAAGCAGCATGTAGAATGTGCAAGGCAGGATGTGAGGGTCCCTGATTCCAATCCGAACTGCATGCTCCTTGGTTGGTAAGTCTTGCCCATTTTTTTCAGATATTCAAATATTTCAAATATTTTCCAGATATTCTTTCCCAAATGAAACAAATTATGATATATTTTAAAAATATAATATTTTTATAACTGTTGATACAAGAGGATATGATGCCCATTTTTCTAGCATTTGCTACAATTTTGTCATTATTAAGAAAACTAGGATTTGGTGACTCCTAAAGAGAAGAAAATAAGTTCAAATATTTTCTTCTACTTGGCAACCTTTTCTTTTTGGTTTTGATTTTGTTTCTTAATAAGAAATGTCCCTTCTCCACCTCTCTAATCCCATGTTGTAGAGGGGCCCAGCATTAACAATATGAATATATCCTTCTGAGACATTTTTTGTTTATACAGATAGCTCTTTAGGTACAGAATCAATGACTTTCATTTGCAAATGTCTTTTACTGTAAATAACAGCAATGATAATAGTTGACAGCACTTACAATACTCTAGAAACAATTCCATACACTTAAATATTAGTTCATTCAATCCTCACAACAACTGTACTGGTCAGAACTATTACTGTTCCTATTTTATAGAAGAGGAACTACCGAGCTGTAATTTGCCCAAGATCAGTCAACTGCGGAGCCAGGATTTGAACTCGACAGTCTGACTCCATAGTCCACACTGTTAGCCTGTGTATCAGAGGTCAGAAAAGTTTTCTGTAAAGGGCCAGAGAGTAAGTATTTTAGGCTTTGTGCACCATACACCTCTGCCACAACTACTCAACTCTGCCACTGTGGAACAAAAGCAGCTGTAGACCATAGAGAAACAAACCAGTCTGTTGTGCTTCAATGAAACTATTTATGGACACCAAAATTTGAATTTCATTTAATTTTCACGTCTCAAAACACCGTTATTTTAATTTTTTCTACCATTGAAAAATGTAAAACTCACGTGTAGCTCATGGGCCAAAGAGAAGTGGTGGGCTGGGTCTGGACCACAGGCTGTTTTTGCCAAGTTCTAAACCACATCACACACTTTGTTTTTAATGCACACCATGTAAAGGTCTTGCCTGTAAATTTCTAAAGTTAGCACGATGAAACAAGGATGCTGCTAGCTAACACTATTAAGTCCTTGCTACGTGCCAGGTACCTTGCTCTAGGTACTATGCATATATTCACTTAATTAATCCTTTCAAGAACTGTTTGAGGCTGGTCCTATTATCTTCCTCATTTTATGGATGAAGAAACTGTGATTGTTTAACTTGCCTTCAGGTTGCACAGTTATTAAATGCTGGAGCTGCCATGTGAACCCAGAAAGTCTGGCTCCATAGTCCCTGCCTATAACCATGTTGCCACTCTGCTTCTCCTAAAATGTTTCACCCTGACAACAGCAGTAATACTTAATATTCATTCTCCCCAACAGTGAAACAAGGTCCACTAGAAATAACACGGTTTGCAGATCTAAACGAAACAAACTTTCTTTAACTGATGTCTGGATCAACCTACTTAATTCAGAAGGACACAAAACATTCTCAAATGATTAGGTCCCATTCTTATTTCTGTTGCTGCAATATAAATATGTAGATTTCCAAATGGGTTTCACATTTTCACACTACACCACAGAGAAACATTATACAGGTACAGAATCTGCAACTGATAAAAGCATTTGATTCAGGGATTTAATTCATCTTCATATACGTATCAGCTGGGCATAGTGTGCTTGCAGTGCCAATTACTTAGGAGGCTGAGGCAGGAGGATCGCTTGAGCCCAAGAGTTTGAGGCTGCAGTGAGCTATGACAACAACACCACTGTACTTCAGAATGAGAGACACAGTGAGACCCTGTCTTTTAAAAAAAAAATAATATATATATATATATACACACATATGAGATTATATGAGGAAGAGACATTATAAATATGCAAACCAACAAAAAACAAAAGCAACTATATTCTTACAGAAAAATGCTTTCTGTTAAAATTTTATAAGAAAAAAAAGGAATAAAAAGTACTTTATAGAAAAAATGCATTAAAAAGGTGTTTTGGTTCAATTCAATCCAGTTAATTTTTAAAACATGAATAAAAAGTCATTTGGTAATAATTATTTTTCTTGGTGAAGTTTACTTTTTATCAAAGCATGACTTCTAGCTTTTAAGAAGCTATGGCTGTCCAAAAATATCCAAAAATAATTTCATTAGTATTCTGATTTCACATAAGTTGAGGAAACTCTGATCCACCCCAAGGGAAGAAAAACTTATGGGAATGTATTCATAGAATAATTAGGGATGAAGCACATTCTTAGGACTAGAAATGATTACCCTAACACTATACTAAACAGCAAAACACTGGCCACAAGAGAACTTTAAGACTATATTCAAACATTCATCCAACAAATATTTTCTGTATCAGGTACTGGGGCAAAACTACTGAAATCCCTGAGAATGAAACAAGAGAAAACAAGATAACTTAAGAAAAATAAAGTTGACCCTTGAAGAACATGGGATTGAACTGTACAAATTCACTTACAGTTGGATTTCTTTCAACCAAATGTGGATTAAAAATACAGTAATCTTAGGATGCAAAGCCAGTGTATACTGAGGGCTGACTTTTCCCATCCATGGGCTCAACAGGGCAGACTGCAGGACTTAAGTATGCGCAGATTTTGGTTCACATGGGGGCCTAGAACCAATTCCCCATGTATACTGTGGATGACCATAGGAAGCATGTTAAAAAGTGCTAAAAGAAAAAAGTAAAGCAGGGAAGAGGAATGTGAAGAATTGGGGTAGGAGGCTTTGAATTTCAGACAGGGTGATCAGGAAAATGAGAAGGAAAGAGCCACGGCAGAACATAGCAGCAGACATACAGAGGCAAGAAGGAGCCAGGTCACCTAGGGCCTTGTCAGTCACAATAAGGATTTTGGCCTTTATCCAGGGAGCTTTTGGAGGGTTTTGAGCAGAGCGTGACAAGGGGTGCCATGTTCGAGCAGACCCTTCTGGCTGCCACATTGGGGTTGGGGGCAGGGAGGTGAGCAGAAACAGGAAGTCACAGGAGCACAGAGGTAAGAGATAGGAGGAAGTAGACACAGGTGCTGGGGGGGGGGCGTGTGTCGAAAGCCGTCAGATTCTGGACACAATTTTACAATAAAACCAATAGGATATGAGATAAGGGATAAGGAAGCGAGGAAAGGATAAGGGAGGGAAGAAATGAGAAAATAATCACAAGGCTTTTGCACTAAGTAAGGGCATGAAGTTGCCACAAACTAAGACGGAGACAGCTACAGGACAGGCCCGTTGATAGGGGACTCTCAGGACTCCGGCCCTGGATGAGAGGTTTGGGCTGCCTATTAGACACCCACATGGAGGAGGGGAGTCCCAGGTACACAGGCCTGGGCTCAGAGCGGAGGTCTGGGCTGGCAAGGTGAAGCGGGTGGAAGCCAGCACATGGGTGGGTTTTACAGACAAGAAGCAGGCTGGTCTCCCCAGGGAAGTCACACAAATAGAGAAGAAAGGGCCAAGAATGGAGTGCGGAGGCACACCAACAGTTCAAGGTCAGGTAGATGAGGAGGAATCATAGCAAAAATTGAGAAGTGGGGACAGTGGGAGGAAAGTCGGACAAGTGCAGTGTCCTAGTAGCCAAGGGGAAAAAGAGGACCACTGGAGGGCAGGGATGAGCTATTTCGGGGATTGGCAGCCACCTGTTTCTGTGAAGTTTTATTGGAACACAGCCCTACTCATTCATTCACATGTTGTCTCTAGCTGCCTTAGCTCTACAAGAGCAGAGCACAGTAGCTACAGCAGAGACCTCCACATCCTAACATGCTTACTACCTTGGCCCTTAATAATGAAAGTTTGGGCCGGGCGCGGTGGCTCACGCCTGTAATCCTAGCACTCTGGGAGGCCGAGGCGGGCAGATTGCTCCAAGTCAGGAGTTCGAAACCAGCCTGAGCAAAAGCGAGACCCCGTCTCTACTAAAAATAGAAAGAAATTAATTGGCCAACTAATATATATAGAAAAAGTTAGCCGGGCATGGTGGCACATGTCTGTAGTCCCAGCTACTCGGGAGGCTGAGGCAGGAGGATTGCTCAAGCCCAGGAGTTTGAGGTTGCTGTGAGCCAGGCTGACACCACGGCACTCATTCTAGCCTGGGCAACAAAGAGAGACTCTGTCTCAAAAAAAAAAAAGAAAAAAAAATAGTGAGAGTTTGTCAGCTCTGAGCTATTTCAAATACCAATGAAAGTCAAAAAAGACTAAGAATCAAGCACTGCATTTGGTAACATGAAGATCACCAGTACCCACTGAGGAGCAGTTTGGGCAGAACAGTTGGAAACTGGTTCATATATTTATGAGCCAGCTATCATGTTTATGACACATGGCCTACAGAAACAAAACTGTTTATTAGCATTTTTAGAAGCCACAAAATAAAGTAGGAAAAAGGAAGCCTTTCACATTGCACCTCCTCTCCCTAAAATGCTATACTTCCGTATTGTGCCTACTATATGGCTCCTTTACCTCAGCTTGGCTCAAAAATCACCTTGGTAATACACCTTCCTCTTCCTCCGCAGGAGGCTGGAAGCCAGGTGCTCCCTCCAGCCCACCCTCCCAGTACTAGCCCGAGCACCCCTGCACTCTAGAATCTTGTTTGCTTCCTTGGTCTTAGATTGTAAGCTCCCTGACAACAGGGGACAGGGCTTAGCCATAGGTTTCTCCAGCGGCTGGCACAAAGTGGGCCCCAAAGCAACCAGGTACAGCGCCACGGCCCCCAGGAGTACATTTCCGCTCCCTTAGAGTCCCTTTGAGAAAAGCCGCAAAAGACTTGAGGAGCTGAATCATCTCATCCACCAAGAATGAACACTGACTGGGATGAAGACAAAGCAGGGAGGGAGGCCCTGGCAGTTTAAACCACCACTCGCCAGAATGGGAGAAAATGGAAGCAGCGCCCAGAACAGGTCTCTTAAACTGAAAACTTTTCAGAGAAAATAACCTCATTAAGCCTGGAAAAGCAAGGCTGCATTTCAGAGAGGAGAGAGGAAATGCCAACTCACCTGTGACATGGCTTTAAGGTCAATTCCTGTCCCCGCAGCCTCCTGCTGGTGGCTTCTCTCCTGGAGAGGAGCAGAGTCCCTGCACGGCAGCGCTGCAGGAGAGAGGCGTAGCTAGAGACCAGGTCCACACCAGGCCCCACCAGCAGCCTAGAAACGCCCCTTCCTGCGAGAGCAAGGCGGGACCATTTTAAAGGGGCAGGTAGGATCTGTCATTACCCTAGCTAGCGGCTGCCACAACGTTGGGGTTGGGGGGTCTCCTCTCTCTGGGAGCGTGAAAACAGGGAGGCGTCCGGTTAGAGTGGCCCTGGACCAAAGGCCCTCCTTCTACCGCTGTTTGATGCTGACGCAGACGAGCTTCCGAATCCCTGGATTCCCCGATCCACCAGCCACGGAGGCCAGGGACACCGTTCTCCAGCAGTTGGCGCCCGGCAGCCCACCCCTCCAAGACCTCACCCCGAGGAGAGGAATTCGCCACTGCCCACCCGGCCAGGCCCGACACCTGTCAGCCTCACCTCTACGCCCTGGCCCCGTGGTCACCGCTCCTCGCCGGCCCTTGGATGAGAGGCCATTCCCTGAGCGCGGCCTTCCCCGGCCAGGGCGGGCGAAGGCGGCTGCAGTGCCCGCAGTCGGGCCTCGGCCCGCCCTGGGCTTTGTTCGGGGACCGCCTCGCCCCGGGAGGGACCCCGGCCTGCGGGCACGCGAGCTCGCCGCGCCCCGCATGTCACCCGAGACGCGCATGCACGCCCCGGGGCCGCGCTGCACCCTCCCGGCCGGCAGCTCGCAGACACACACAGCCCGCCACCCTCGCCGGCCCGCTCCGCGCCCGCCCTGCGCGCTCCCAGGGACCGCCGCCGAGCGGCCCGCCCCCGCTTCCAAGCGCACCGCCCGGATCAGCGGCCCCGACCCGGCTTTAGCGCCAGCCCCGGTCAGCGCCGACACGGAATCAGCAGACCCGCCCGCCATACGCCCCGACCGGCCTCACGCCCCGACCCCGGCTTCACCGCCCGACCCGGCTCACCCGCTGACCAGCCCCCCCCCCGCTTCACGCCTGCCCCCCGGACATCACGCCGCCCGGCCACAGCCCGCCGGCTTCCAGCGCACCCGCACCCCCGGCTAGAGACGCACGCACACCGCCCACCCCCGACTCATACGCAACCCCGGCTCACTCGCCTGACCCAGGCCCGCCTCCCCCGCCACAACCCGCTCACTGCCGCCCGGCTCACCGCCCGCTCCCCCGGCTTCACCGCAACCCCGGCCTCACGCCCGCCCCGCTCACCACCCGCCCCCGGCTCAGCCCCGCCCCGGCTCACGCCCCCCGGCTCACCGCCTGCCGGCTACGCCACACCCGGCTCACCGCCGGCCCGGCTCACACGCCCCGCTCACCGAGCCCAGCCACGCCTACTGCTCACGCCCGCACCCGGCCCACACCCCGACCCCAGCCCCCGCCCCCCGCCCTGGCCGCAGCACTCAGCCTGCGCAGCCGGAAGTGGGCGTGTCCTGCGCGCAATGCCTGCCGGGAAACGTAGTCCCTAGCATGGCACTGAGGCTGCCCCACGGAGGTCCGCTCCCTACCCCAGACCGGTCGCTCCCGGTCCCGACTGGACCGCGGCCGCTCGCCTGGGCCTGGCTGGAAACACAGGCCGCGCGGAGCTGCAGAACCACGCCCCAAACGCTTCTGTGAGTAGGAACTGGGTTCGGAGCGCGCGGCCATAGCGGCCGGAAAACGGGGGCGGGGCTTGCGGCGGGGGCGGGGCCTCAGGGGAGGAAAAATGGACGCACGGGCGCGAGTGGCAGCGGGAGCGGCTGGCGCTGCAGTCCTTGCCATTTGCTTCTCGGGGTGGCGTTACGGCCTACAGGCAGTGTCGCGGAGGGGAAGGGCCACATGGAGGCCTCTAGAGCCCTTAGGAGGATTCTGAGGGGGATGCGTGTGGGATGGGAGGAGGGAGGTGGTTGTGGGATTCGTTCGGGGAGCCGCCCTCACCTTCTCCCCGGCTACCCGGGCCTCCCCATCCGCCAGACCGCTGTTCCCCATTCTGGAAGTTACGCATATGTAGGTGCTGGGTCTGAACAGTCTTCCCTCAAACTTTAGGCCGGGCTGGCTCCTTTGTGTCATTGACTTGTCATCCATCGCTTCAGAGAGGGCTGGCCAGCGTCTCAGTTAAAAATACCACCCCAGTCACCTTTTAAAATCGCCTTCCTAACGCGAATCATGATCTCAGGTTAGCTGATGTTTTTATTCTTACACATGTTTGGGGCCGGTCTCTCCCAGGGGCCTTATCAGAGAAGTCGAGAGCTTTGCCCCTGGAGCTGAAGGCTTTGTTGCGTCACAGAATGACCTAACAACAGCACAGACAGATCACACCGCGGAACCCCAGATCTCCTGACTCTTGAATTGGTGTTCCCAGGTCTCGTGGCCCCAGTGATGGAATCAAGATTTCTATCTCTGAATTCAAGGGTGACTCAATTCACAAGCTGCAGGAAGGACAAGGTCAGCATTTCCCCTCAAAGCGTTTCAATCTCATAGAAAAGGATCAGATTCAGAGTAGGATTGACCCCATCACTTAGTAGTTGTGGCAGACACTGCCTCTTCAATGTCTGCTGTGCACTCCTTCCACACTAATAGAACGCTGATGTTCTCCACGTGGCCATCCACCCATATTAAAATGCTGACCTCTCCAGTCCCCCTTGCAAGTACAGTGGGTCCTAATCAAGGAGATATAAATACAAATTGCTGGGAGGATTGGTGGATGGGTGGAGAGAGACTAACCTGGCATGTACCTTTGCCCTATGGCCCATCTCACACAACCTTCTTCCTGCTTGGAGGTGACACAAGATGTCAGAAGGTAAAGCAGCTATTTTGATACCATGAGGATGAGTTATGCTAAAGATAGCCCAAGAGAAAAAAAAAACAAAAACAGAAGAAAGAAATGAATAAATTGTGTTAGGAATAAAAAAGCAAGCATAATCACAGAGTAGAGATTTTTAAAATCTTACAAATACTATCACCATTATGTCAATATATTTTAAAATATAGGCAGTGGCTTACAGTAAAGAAAATTTACTAAAACTGACTGAAGAATAGGAAATCATTAAATAAATTCTGAGACTTTTTTTTTTTTTTTTTTTGAGACAGAGTCTCGTTTTGTTGCCCAGGCTAGAGTGAGTGCCATGGCGTCAGCCTAGCTCACAGCAACCTCAAACTCCTGGGCTCCAGCGATCCTTCTGCCTCAGCCTCCCGAGTAGCTGGGACTACAGGCATGTGCCACCATGCCCGGCTAATTTTTTTTTATATATATCAGTTGGCCAATTAATTTCTTTCTATTTATAGTAGAGACGGGGTCTCGCTCTTGCTCAGGCTGGTTTTGAACTCCTGACCTTGAGCAATCCGCCCGCCTCGGCCTCCCAGAGAGCTAGGATTACAGGCGTGAGCCACCGCGCCCGGCCTAAATTCTGAGACTTTTCCATGAACACCAAGCAATGGATAATCCCCACCCTATAAAACCATACTAGAGAATGAAAAAAACTAGTTAACTGTGATACCAAAATTGCACAAGGACAGTAGGGAAAAGATTTAAGCCAGTCTTCAATGACAACAAATCAAATCCAGCAATACCTATAAAAATATGTCAAGTGGAAGGAAGGCACGTCAGAATACTCTCATGGGCAAATAGCAGAAATCATTGATTTCTAGCCTAAATAACAAATGCATTCATAGCTGGAAGTTCAGAGGCAAGATAATCACCAGGCTTCTCAATGTCAATCAGAGACTGAAATTCTTTTCATCTCTGTGTTCTGTCATTCCCAGCAATAGACACATCCATCATGGTCACACAATAGTGGTTAACTAGATATGACAGAGCAGGCAAATTATGCTTCGTATCCATTCTCATCTCCTTTTTAATAGACTCCTCTCCCTATGAGGAAGAGCACATAGCTGCTCAGACTACATTTTCCAGGATCCTTTGCAACTAGATAGGTCATATGATTAATTTCTTCCTAAAACATGGAATGTGATCAGAAGGGGTGTTAGCAACTTTAATGTCCCTTTTTTCTTTCTGTTTTTTTAATTTTCTTTTATTTTGGCATATTATGGGGGTACAGATTTTAAGGTTTCAATAAATGCCCATTCCCCCCCCACAAGTCTGAGTCTCCAGCATGACCATCCCCCAGATGGTCACACTCCACGGCCTCATTATATACTGTACCTAGTACCGCGCCCACCACCCTCCCACCTGCCCAATTACCTATTACGTAAGTACATATGGTCCACTATAGGCTGCGCTCAGTAATAACCAATTGCTGGTGAGTATATGTGAGCTGCGTTTTTCCATTCTTGGGAAACTTCCTAATAGTATGGGTTACAGCTCTAACCAGGAAAATATAAGATTGCTATATCACCATTGTTTTTTAGAGCTTAAGTACTCCATTGGTATACATATACACATTTATTATCGCATTCTTGGATTGATGGGGCCACTTACGGCTGTTTCCACAGCCCTTGCAATTATGAATTGTGGCTGCTCTAAATATTCGAGTGCAGGTGTCTTCTTTGTAGTGTCATTGGATCTTTTGAGTAGATGCCCAGCAATGGGATTGCTGGATCAAATGGTAAGATTAAACTTGTTATGCGGCTTAAGGTTACTCCATATTCTTTCCACGAGGGGATGACTAGTTTGCAGTCCCCACCCAGCAGTGTAGGAGTGGTCCTCCTCTCTCGCCACATCCTACGCCAGCATTAAATTGTTTGGAAGACTTATTTGCTAAGCCATTCTCACCTGGAAGTTAAGTCGAATATCTCATCGTGGTTTGTTTCGCATTTCCTGATGATGAGGAGATGTGGAAGCATTTTTTCATATGTTTGTCTGGCCATTCTTCTGTCTTCTTAGAAAAGTCTGTTCAAGTCCTTTGGGCCACCTTTTTACATAGGGTATTTGATTTTTTGCTGCTGATTATTTCATGAGTTATAAAAGTTTCCCCTAGTTATCAGTCCCGTTATCGGATGCATAGGATGCAAAAAATTTTCTCCCAGTCTGTAAGTGGTCATGTTTAACTTTCATAACTATTTCTTTGGCTGTGCAAAGCTCTTGTATTTGATCATGTCCATTTCATTGTACCTTTTTGTTGCTGCTGTGATTGCATTTGAGGACGTTCTTCCATACAACTGCTCTTGCCTTAGGCCGATGTCTCAGGAGATGTTTCAACTTTTTTCCCTTTTTTTTTTTTTTTTCTCTTCCTTATCGCTAGAATTCTAATAGTTTCATACCTTAGGTTTAAGTCTGTTTATCCAGCGTGACTTGATTTGTGACAGTGAAAGGTGTGGTCCTGTTCTTCTACAGGTGGCTATCCAGTTTTCCCAGCACCATTTATTGAAAAGGGAGTCTTTTCCCAGCGTATGTTTTTGTCTGCTTTGTCCAAGATTAGATGGCTATATGAGGATGGTTTTATATCAGGATTCTCAGATCTGTTCACTGTCAATATTCCTATTTTGTGCAATACCAGATTTATTTAATTACTAGGCAGCTTTGTAGTATATGTTGATATCTGGCATATAATGCCTCCCATTTTGTTTTTGTTGCCTAGAATTGTTTTGATATTCGGGTTTCTTGTGGTTCCATACGAAGTGTAAAATTATTTTTTCTATATCTGTGAGATGCTGATGGGATTTTAATAGGTATTGCATTGAATATGTAGACAGCTTTGGGTAGTATAGACATTCTTAATGATGTTGATCTGCCATCCACGAGCATGGTA